CGCCTTCGGCCTCTCTTGCAGGTTCAGGCCCTCGGCTGCGCCGTGAGCATTGGCAGCGCCCTATGCAGAACCTGAGCAGCTGGGCCTCCACGGCGGACGCCAAGGTGTACCTGGAGATCTTCAGTGGCCCTGGAAATCTGCCCAAAGCTCTGCGGCGTGGCTTTGCCTCGCGACTGGCCCCGCGCGTCTTTGAGCTGGACGTGGACCGCGAGCCCCCCCTTGGCGACCTCAGCCGCCGACGCGGGCAGCGCGCGGTGCGGGGCTGGCTCCGCGGCGGCCTGCTGCAGGGAGTCTGGCTGGGCACGCCGCGCAGTTGCAGCTCCTGGTCGAGAGCGCGGAATCGGCCCAACGGCCCCCCCGCCCTGCGCGACGCTGATTACCTCTTTGGGCCGCCGATTTTTCCGTCTTCAGATGCGCTCGAAGTGATGATTGGCAATCGTCTCTCGCAGTTTTCATTCAGTATTTTTCTCGAGTGTGCCCAGCGAGAGATCCCAGCTGCAATCGAGAATCCTGCGTCCTCGTGGGCATGGCAGACTCGGTGGGCACGGCATGCACGTGGCAGCCAAGTGTTAAGATCATGGGCTTTGACTTCTGTGCCTTCGGCGCCGCTCGGGGAAAGCGGACACGTTTGATGTGTGCGCATTTGAACCTGGACGACTTGAACAGCTGCGAGTGTACAGGCCGAGGGGCCCGTTCCTTCTCTCACATGCCCTGCAAGGCGCTGGAGGGCAAGACGCCGCCCGGCGCCTTCTGGACGAATATTGCCGAGCCATGCCCGCCCAGCATTTGCAGCGCCTGGGCCGAGGCGCACCGTGAAGCTAGAATGTCATCCACGCACCGTGCCTCGATACGAATGGCGGCCTGACGGCCAGATGTTATCTTTGGAGAAGATGCTTCGAGGTCGCCTGGATAGTTTCTGGCCCCCCGCCCCTTCTGGCCGCGGGCAGCTGCTGCGCGCCGAGGCTGGACAATGCCGTCGAAAAGACACTGTCGAGATGCTGGCCTGGTAAAGGAGAGCCGGGTGGGGATATCTGATGCGTGCATGTCTTTCCCACCGTGTCACCTGGTCTAGGCCGTCGATGTTAATCGCTTCCGTTGGTTCTTGGGCTCAACCCTGCCCGCCCACCCTTGAGCCTGAAAAAGATGCACCAGTCTGTCGCCTGAGAGGTCGCCTGGATTGTCTCTGGCCTCGGGTCCCTTTTGGCCGCGGGCACCTGCTGTGTGTCGAGGCTGGACAATGCCGCCGAACAGACACTGTCGAGATGCTGGCCTGGTAAAGGAGAACCGGGTAGGGATGCATCTTTCTCATTTTGCAACGGGTATTTCGTGAAGCCTCTGGGGCAGGGGAAGAGAGGACGGATGGAATGGAAAAAACAAGCGGGAAAGAGGAGGATGGAACACGAGAAAAAGAGTAGCAGGAGGGGGGGTGCGAGCAGAAAGACGTGGCAGAACCAGACGGGCAAGCCGGGCGGGTAGACCCTAGCGGGCGGGTCTGGAAAGCGGGCCCAGGCGGCCAGGTCGAGCAGGCGGGTTGCTGAAGCGTGCATCCTGCACGAATCGCGGGGACGTCCCGAGCGATGGCGCGATTCCCAAATATATCGTACGTGCATCGAGAGAGAAAACGTGATTCCTGACTGTCGACGGCGCGGCGTCTGAATACATTGTAGGGATGTCCGACGCGAGAGCGCTATTATTGTATAGCTTGTGAGGACGTCCTGCGCGAGAGCGCGACTATGCGAGGAAGCATCAGACGGGAACCGCTGCTGTTGTAGACCAGGGGCCCGGGGCCCAGTTTGGTGACTCCTCGTTTTCCTTTGAGGGTGCGAGTCCCAAGAGAAGCATTTTCATTGAAACATGCAAATTGGTTACCGGACAGAGGGTATCAACACGACTTGCTTTTCGAAATGAGAACGCAATAACAACACTAGCAGCAACAACAACATAAGCAGCAACAACGACACCACTCACAGCAACACCAACAACAACCAGCAGCAGCAACTTCATAAACAACAGCGTCAACAGCACCAGCAACAACCACAGCGACAACACCAACGACAACAACACCGACGACGACAACGGCACCATCAGCAACAACAGTTACATCAACGACAACAACAGCAGCAACACCTGTAACAGCAGCAACACCACCACACAACAACAAGAGCAGCAACAACAACAACAACAACAGCAACAGCAACAGCAACAACAACAACAACAAAAACAACAACACCAACAACACCACCAACAACAACGACAACGACAACGACAACGACAACAGCAACACGCACCGCATACTCTCGCTTCAGCTATCTCCCCAGGGGCAGTGAATGGCAGTGAACTGCCCCCTGCTCCCTTCTGGACTGGTGCCCTCTGCTTTTTCCTGGCCAGACCGACGGCGGTTCGATTCCTTCGAGCCACCGATCGCTGGAGCTCTCGACCCGCTCCCTGTGCCCGGCACCTCGTGTCCGCAGACATGGCGAGCAACCTCCGCCGCTATTTTCCTTATAGCCGCCACAGATCTGACAGCCCGGCCGATTGATTCGAGTGGAAGGCATTTCCAGTCCGGTTCGTGGTCAGAGGAACCGTTGGGACGACGATATTAAACATTTTCTGGCAGCAGACATGCTTCTCCAACCTGGCAGCGGACGATGGTTTACGATAGCACAAGACAGCGCTCAATGGAACAATCTTGAACAAGCATTCCTACGCCACACACAGCACTGACTGCAAGTCTCACATCTGCAACTGAGGGCCCCGGCCCGCCCGCGCCAGCCTTTCAGGCCCCGCCCCCTGGCGGACTCAGGCGCGCCTCGCCTCGCCTCGCCTCGCCTCTTCGCGTCTGCGCGCTTTGAACCTCAGCGCCGCCGGTGCCAGGCTCGATTTGATTGTTTCCCCCTCCACCAAAACTTAGAATCAGAGGGGTGGACGTTGAGGAGTGAGATGTGGACGCCTTTCCCTCTCGTTTCTTTTGAAGGACAGAACAGGAGCACGCAAGAAGGCAATACCAGCAACGTGGACACATGAACATGCGCGATGGGGGCGCAGAGGGACTACAGCCGGCCCGGATTAGTAGGTCGACCCTGCCAGATCAAGGGTACCCTTGTGTCTCGTGCCTCGCGACACGTGCTTTCTTACATTCCAATGGCGATGTGGCCCCCGGAAAGGTCTTGTGTCCTCTCGCGTGTCCTCTCCAACCGAGTCCGACAATAGACCCTGGACTGCATCCGACAGTTTCCTCCTGCGCAGTCCTTTCCTCCGGCTCTCTCCAGAAAGCGCCCGCCGCCGCCGGGGCCATCTGCAGGCTCCCACAGACCATCCGAGAGGCCCCGAGGGGATCGGCCGGAGGCATCGCGAGAAGGTGTAATTGCAGTTGGCGGCCTTTTCCCCCCTGGAGGTAATGGAGGATGACGATTAATAAATGACCGGGGGTCGTGTTCACGCGGCGGCGCCTGGGATGACGATTAGAAAAAACCAGCCGCGGGCTGGAACACTATTCTTTTTAATCGTTCTCCTCCAGTCAGAAAATTATGCAGAAATAGCAAGAAACTATTTGTTTAATCGTTCCCCTCCATTTTTTTATTGATCGTCATCCCGCATTATCCAGAGGCCTCCGGAGGCATCCTCGCCCCATCTCGCTGTCCTCCGAGCCTCGCCACCGCCAAGGCTGGCTGCGCCAGGGCAGCCTCGAGCCACGACCTCCCGCGGCCCCAGAGCGCCCCCGGCCGCCAGCTTAAAGTCTGGCCCGTCCCTCTACAGGAGGAATACTCAAACATAATCCAACATTAGTCCGGGGACTATTGTTTTAAGGACGAATATTCAAGCATAATCCAACAATAGTCCGGGGACTATTGTTTTAGCACGTTTTGACCATTTGGGATTCTTGTTTGAGTATTTTCTGTTTTTCCTCGTAACTCCCCCGTAGGGGGACCCGCCCGATTTGACGCAAGCACCCCGGAGCCGCCGCCGTTCCGGAGCCGTGTTGTGTCGGCCCGAGGGGGGGGGGGGGGCGCCGTGCCCCCCGAGAGGGCCGCGCGCCTCCGCGCGCCGCGCCCGCCGACGCCTCCCCCGCCGTCGTCGACGTTCTTGTCGGGTCCTCCTCGCCTCCGCCACTCGCCTCGCGTCCTCGACTGCGCTCTTGGTATCGCTCGGACGTGTGCACTTTTTCTCGGCGGGGATCACTGAAAAAGCCACGCACGAAACCGAAGAAAAACACAGGGAATGGACGTCCGAGCGATGGCCAGCGTTGGGACAGAGGTCCTCGGGAGTCGTCGTTCTCGGGAGGCATGGTCCTCGGGAGTCCTCCTCGCCTCCTCGCCCTCGGGAGTCCTCCTCGCCTCCTCGAGTGCGTTGGGACAGCGAGCACAGCGGCAGGTCCCCGAGGCACTGCCCTACGGTTGCTTGCACGCGAGTTCGCGTGCGCTTGGCAGATCTTACCCATGCCCCGTCGGGGCGCGGCTGTTTCGTCGTCGTCTTCGGGGGGGGGGGAAGATGGAGGCGGTTGATGCATTCGTGTCTCTCTTTCGGCCTCCAGGGTCTCAGGAGACCTGTCGGGGATCAACGGGTACCGTCTGCTCATCCACCATCTCCCCCATCGACTCTTTCGTCGAGTATATACTCCACCATCTCCTCCTCTTCCCCCTCATGGACGAAGTAAAGAGAGATTGTTTTGATTATTCGGTGTTGCTTCGGCCTTCAGGGGCCTTCAGAGGCCTATTGGGACCACCGGGGACCTGAGAGACCCTGGGAACCTCCTCCTTATACTCCTTCATCCTGACTCCTTCTCGCTCGTCTCGACCGGGGAGCCCCAGGGAGGGGGGAGTTGAGGGCGGCGTGTATGTTTTGTGAGGGGCTACTGGGGGGCCCTCGTCGCCACGGCTGCATCGACATCCTGACCAGAGCACGCTCCAGAGCACCCCTGGTGATTGGTTTTGGATTGGGCAGCGTCGTTCGTATCGCCTTCCCCTGCATGGTCGTCGCCATCTTTGGTGTGGGGTGGTGCCATGGTGCGTCCGCTTGCGCGCAGTGGGCCTGGTGACCGCGGTGGTGGCGACCACAGGTCCCCGCTGAAGGACGGCCCGCGTGACAGCGACCCGAGACTGAAGAGTTGCGTGGTGGTGGGGTCCCTCGTCATATTCACGCTGGGCAGTCTCATGTGCGTCAGCTTCGTGCAGCTCTTCGAGGTGACGGACTTCCAGCTGCTCTACAGCCTCGTCGCCGTGGACGACACCGACGACCCTTTGCCTGCGGACGGGCACTGGTTCGTGTGGGCGGTGATGATGCTCGCCGTGTGTACCTCGATCGCGGGGGGCTTCGGCTACACCGGAATCCGCATTCAGAATGCCAGAAGACGGCGTAAACATAGAACTCCGGAGGTCTGGGCAGGTTTCTTTGATCGGCACTTGGCTTCCGTCTCCACACGCCTTGCCCGTCGCGCGGAGCGTGCCAGGGGCGGCGCCGGAGGCGCCGCCAGGGGTGGCGGGAGCCCGAACCAAGCATCCCGCGCGCACCTCCGACAGCTTGTGTTTATACCGTTGTTTTGCATTCTAGCATGGGGCGGAGGGCCGTACTTTGCGTGTTCAGCCCCGTGTGCTTCGCCCTGAGCATCACCTACGCGCTCCTGTGCTGGCACGTGCAAGGTGCCGTGGGGCAGCTGGAACAGGCCATGGATGCGCAAGTGGTTGAATATTGCAACGCCACGACGGAGTGGGCATGTCAGGTAGTGCCACGGGGCCCAGACTCCTTCGCGCTGTCAGAACCCCATTATGTATATGTTCTGCCTCTGGGGGCCCTTACCAGGCCCTGGGACCGTCAAAACACGACTCTGGATGAAGAGCTGGTCGTGGAGACGGGGTCGAGACTTGCCCGGGTCCTAGTTGCGAGAGGGTCGCAAGTCGGGGGCTTTGGGTGGTCACCACGAGGAGGGTCACCAGCTACTCCTGATGATCGAGGCTCGCAGATCGATGAACATGTATTGGCGTGATGTTCGGAGTGTCTCGAGGGGTCTTCATCGTCGAGGTATCGTCCCCCCTATCGCTGATCCCCCTTGGCGCTACCTGGGCATACACTGTCAAACTTGGGTGCACGCACCTGACTGAGCCATCAGAAGACGCTCGTGACACCATACATGCCTCGGCAGAGCAGACCATCGAAGGCTGCGACGAGTGCAGAAAAGATCTGAAATCCCTCCAGCTATTACAGAAGCTCCACGCCGTCGACGCGTGCCAGATATTGGAGCATTTATGTCACCACATGCTCTTCGAGGAAGTTGGGCCCGGCAGGTGCCTTATAACCAGGGGTGGAGACGGACATGTAGCTCCCCCTGTCATCAGATCGGGAGACATCCAGGTGGAGGGGGTCGACAATGACGAACTCTTGGAGTGTTGCGAGCAAGGCTGCGCCAGTGTCGTTGGCTGCGCTGGCTTCTGGTTCAGTGATGGGCACTGCGTCCTCGTCTCCCCGCATCAGCCCCTCTTCCAGCACACGCTGAAGCAGTACCGAATATTCTGTAAGGGCATGACCTGGGATAAGCTGAGTGTGGATAGCGCCGACATGCACTATTTTCTGCCGGTTGAGCCCACAATCGAGAAGACAGACGAAGAACGCGGCCTCACGTGTTGGAGAAAGGGCAAGCCGCGCATGCTCGCGACGTTTGACAAGATTTCTAAACTCATGCTCGTCATCTGCGGGCTGGCGTTTGTCATCTTGCTGTCAATGAGCCTCTGCACTTGCCATTACCACTTCGTCCTAACCCAGCGCAAGTTCCCTGAGTTGAGAGGACGCGCGCCGATGACCTGTTGCAAGATGTGCGGCGTCCTCTGCGAGAAGGCGCGGCGCAAAAGACGCGAGCGCGAGTCCAGGAAGAGGGACGAGCTCTTGGGCCTGGACTACTCCAGCAGCGAATACAGCAGCGACGACTAGGCGTCATCATGTGGCTCAGGCGTCAAAAGCTCCTCAGGACCTCCGAGTACTTCTTCTCCCATGGTTCACTGTCGTCGAGTCTGGGTCACTGTCGTCGCCGCCGCCGCTGTCGTGGTCGTCGTCGTTGCTTCCAATTTGTTGAAGCGGCTGGCACGCTGTCGCGCGCGCGCGGTGAGCAGTGCCAGCGCTGATACCGACCAGAACCTAAAGGCAGCCACCACGTCGCTGGAGACCTCCGTATGTGCTGGAAGGTCTCCCGGTTTTCGTGGGCCCTGGGTCCCCCAGTGGGCCCAGTAGAAGGCCAGGAACGCCCCAACGGCTCGATCCTCGAACCCTCGATCCTCGAACGACGACGACCTCGACACCAACACCGACCACAAGGCCGACGAGGACGACGCCGACAAACACGACGGCGACCACGACGACCTTGACGACGACGCCGACCACGACGACCACCACGCCGACGCCGACGAAGACGACGACGGACGCCGACCACGACGACCACCACGCCGACGCCGACGACGATGCCAACAACGACAACTCCGGCGACGACCCCGACACGAACGATGACGACGGCGACGACGACGACGATGACGAGGCCGACGACGACGACGACGACGACGACGACGACGACGACGACGACGACGGCGACCCCGACACCGACGACGACGACGATGAGGCCGACGGCGACGACGCCAACGGGTCCGACGACCACGACGGCCGTGAAGACGATCACGACGGCGTGCACCACCACGAGCGCTTGCGCGCCAGCGCCTGCGCGCCCGCGCCCGCAGGTGCGGGCTCGGAACCTCGGCCGCCGCTGCTCACCAGGCGTCCCCCGCCGCAGCACGTCGCGCGCGCGTTGCGTGAGTCGCGTGCGTTCTGTCCCGCACTTCGCGCGCGGCGGAATTTACGCACGCTTGAGACATGGGCGTTGCAATCTTTTTGTCGTATCGGGCGATTGCGCCAGGAGTCGGGCCCCACGATGGCTCGAAACCTGTTGCAGAAAGACGGGGTCGTGGGCTCAGTTCGTTATGTTTGATGGAGTATATCAGATGACGGGGAGCCGGGCCCCGGGGCCCGGGGGCTGCCCACTTTGTTACCCTCCCCCGTACCCCGTTTTCGTCGGCGGGGTGGCGACCTTTTTCGGTGCGTTGCCGGGCCGGCCCGCTGTTGGGAGGCCGCAAATCAGCCCCCAGAGCGATCAGACAGCCGCAAACTCCCGGATAGCTCCTTGGAGAGCTAAGAGGGTTACAGGTAAGAAGCCGACAGGCAGGGCTACGCCAGCCCCTCTCCAAGGCTCTCGGTCAGGCATCTCCGCAGCGACCTCTTTGAGCTCGCAGCGGGTCCCGAGAAGTGGTTTATGATTCGTTCCCAATACGCGTGCCTGAGGTCTTTCGGCAGGTCCTTCGCAGCTCCCTCGAAGCTTCCTTTTCGAAGCTTGCAGGCTTCCCAGGCAAGGTTTCAAGCGACATGGCAAGCGTTTCCAAGAGGCATTTCCCAAGCTTGCGAGCTCCCCATGCATGCTTTCCAGCGTCCTTGCAAGCATCTCCCACAAGCATTTCACGCGCTTTGGAATGCGTCGCTATCCAGATTGGAGACACCAGCAGTCAGCCCCCAGAGCGATCAGACCGCCGATCCGGCGGCTCAAGACGGCCACGAGCCACCCCGAAGACGGCTTGCAAAAGTGTCAGACGGCCCAAGAAGTTTCCCCAACGGACCAAGAGGCCCCCAAGACGGCCCAAGAAGGCGCCAAGAGGACCCCGACGAGTGCCCCAAGAGGCCACAATTATTGATGCTCCTCAGGTGTGTGAAGGGTTTGGGCGTTATCACCGCTTCGGGCTCAAGAGGCGCCCACGACCGCCCCGAAACGGTTGAAGAGGGGCTCAAGAAAGCCCAAAGACGGCGTCAGAGACCTCTCGGGAACCCCAAGATGGCTCGAGAGGGCCCCAGGACGGCCCAACAGAGGCCCCAGAGCGGCCCCACAGGGGACCCGGAGCGGCCCCAGAGGGCCCAAAGAGGGGGAACACGAACCCACAATTCCAGCCTTCCACCCCCCCGAGCCCCCGGGAGGCCCAAAGGCCCCGACGAGGCGCGCCGACGTTCCCAAGAGGCCCCCCACGAGGCCCCAACGGGCTTCAAGGGCCCGAAAGAGGCCCCCAGAAGTCCCAACACGGCCCCCAAGGGGCTGCACTGCCGCCTTCGACGAGGTTCCCGAGAGGCTCCCCACGAGGTACCAACGAATTTCCAAGAGGCTTCTGACACACAGCCCAGGCACCGTGGCGGGATGGTTCGATATATATATATATATATATATATATATATATATATATAATCAACCTTAAGGGAACTTCCGAGTCAACCTGGCAGTACCCCACGGCAATTTGCGGTGATAGATCCTCGATCGCGACTGAACCTAAGCGCGCGCAAGGCGCGCGCGGATGGTTCTAGTTCCATGTGTTGCGCGACGTCGGAGAATTCCCCTCCAAGATAAGGGGGGCACTCTCGGCGGGGGGAGGAAGCGGACGGAGTATGGTGAGGGAGAAAGAAAGGGAGGACCAGGGTCGAGGAGGAGAAGGAGGACGAGGTGAGTTTGAGGTGGAGTGAGGGGCCGTGGATGAGCAAGAAGGGAGGAGAGGCTGTGGAGGAGGATCATAGTATTTGCCAACGTTCGGTCGTCCCTTCTTTTCTCTCCTTACCTCTTGGTTTTGTTGACCCTCCCACCGGAGCTCCGGTGGGAGAGGCGCGAGGGCCACATCCATCTTGGCGACAACGGCGCGCAGCTCCCAAGCTCGAAGGCGGAGGAGGAGTGAGGAGAAGGAGGGGGAGGCAGTGATGGCGGGAGAGCTTGGGGAGGTTGATGATGAGGGATGGACGGGGGAGGGTGTGGGATGGAGGGAGCGGGAGGAAGGACGGAGCAGGACGGTGCAAGTGCTACGCTCGACTGGGCCGCGGCAGCGCTCCAGGGCCGTCTGCCCCTGCGACTGTGCGCCTGCATCGCTGGGGCAGGGGCGTGCGCCGAGGAGCACGCACCCGTGGTCTGAGCGCGCGGGAGCTGCCGTCGAAGGGGGGAGCACTCCGACTTGGAACTGGCTGGAAGTTCTGAGGTTTGGGGGGTGGAGGTTTTGCAGGGTTTTCGTGGCTTCTCGGCGGCTTCCCAGCCTCGGGGTGCCCTCTCCGGGCAGCTGCGCCTCGCCGAGCGCGCTCCGGGGGTGCCCTGCTCCTCCCGCAGGGCCGCCGGAGAGCCGAGCTGTGGCCCGAAGACCGGACGGCGAGGCCCACCAGCAGGCTCGGCGGGGGGGGTCAAACGACGCGAAGATCGGGACAAAATCGGATCGGGATAGCTCGAAATCTCTGGGAATCGGCGGGTTTGGAGGATGTATTGTGCGCCGCGGCCGCTCCAGAGCGTTCCAGAACGCTCTGAGAGCGCTCCAGAACGCTCTGGAGCGATTTATCCCGATCTTAGCCCTGTTTTAGGGGGCCTAGGAAAGGGCGGCACACCCCCAAAAGAGAGAGAGAGAGAGAGAGAGAGAGAGAGAGAGAGCGAGGCCAGCGCCGACGTGCCCACGGGTTCCAGCGTCGGCCAGGCTCGGGGGTCCCCAGACGGTGCGGTGACCACACCGTGCGGTGAGTCGGTGAGGATTCAGGGTCACCGCACGGTTTTGGGACTCGAGCCTTTCTCCGAGGATGTCTCGGGCGACAGGGGCCTCCAGGGTCCCAAGACCGTGCGGTGACGGACCGTGCGGTGAGGTCTTGGGGGGGTTCGAGGTCACCGCACGGTCTGCCACCGCACCGTTCCAGGACTCCAAACAGGCACGGCTCGGAGACGGCGGGAGGGGAGAATGGCCCAAGGCGAGGGGGCCCTGCGTGCATCCAGGGGCGCCGAGGGTCACGTCTTCGACGAGGCTCCCCAGCGCCCCAGCGAGTGCGTAAGATGCCCGCCCCTGACGATTCGCTCCCGTCGTCGCCACCGAGCGGTGGGCACATCAGATTATCGGAGGAGGGAGATGCGACACCAACACCAGCAGGGGGCCCACCTCCATCGAGGAGGTCCACGATGCCTCCCCGAGCTGGAGGCTGTGGATGTCTCGAGCGAGAGGGGGGGACTATTCCACCAGGGAGGCCCCCCTTGTTCCTCGCATATCCTCGCCCTGTTGGTGTTGGTGTCGCCTTTCCTTGATCCTAGATAGAGACCAGCCCGACAGCGGGCGTTCCATGGAGATGTCTCATCTGCCGATGGCCTTGGGGACCTGGGGTCGCCCTGGGATGCGCAGAGTTCGGCAGCACATGCGCCCTCAGGCTTAATGATTCATGGGCTAACGCTACACCGCCGACCCCTTGGGATATCTGGGAAGGCCTTGGGTGGGGTGGGGGGGGGGTCGTGCAGCATTAACAACCTGGCTGTCTCTATCTCGCGCGGGGCCTTTATCTTGTGCACTGCCCCCCCACGTCGCCGCGCCAGGTTGCCGCCGATTGCTCCGGTCTCGCATCCGGTCCACCCTCAGCAACTTAGTACGTTTGTATGTACGAATGATCGTATTGTATATATGCATAAACATATGTGTATATACAGAACATGCAATCGTATATTGTACACACGCATACATGACATGGGCATGCATGCGTGCACAGAGGTGGCACTGCGCGGTGCCATTCGGCAGCGTGTCTCTGGGCTCAAGAACTGGCTCGTGGTGTGTTCATTCGGCGCCAGCGACAGCGGATGATGATGAGGCGCCAGCGACAGCGGTCACGAGCAGATCTCAATTAGTTTTTGCGTGTGCTGGGCATGTACAGGTATAAGCCAGATGATACAGGGGCGTCCAGCCGCAACGCAAATAAAGGTATACATATTTATGAATATATATATATATACATATATATATATATATACAGATAAATATACATATGTGTGCATGTATATACGCATATATATATATGTATATATACGTAGGGGCGTTCCCCCTCACCTGCTGGCTCGTGAGTGTCTTTCCCGAAGATACTGTGCAACGTCTTTGAAACACAGGTGCGGATCGGACGTCGCTGACGCATTGCGGCGAGGCTCACGCGTGCACGGAATCAACAACGGCGAGTTGAGCTGCTGCGACGCAAGTATGGGGAAAGGAGGAGGCATGAGGTGGTTCAGAAAAGGAGGAGCGATTAGTGACGCAGATTCTCTTTCTTTGAGCCGCAACATAGTAGGAGGACTCCGACGAAAGCCCTGCGAGGAGGATCTCGCAGCGTGCGGACGTCCCACCGCGCAGGGTGAGGGTTTTGAAGCCAATTTTTTGTCCTCCGGACCGACGGCGGTGCCTCTTGGAGGGTTTCATCCTCGGAGGCGCGTTGGAGGCTTTGGACACATCGAGACCAGATCAAAAAAAAAGGCCAAACCCAATTGTCGTGTGAGGATAATCGCGCTTTGCGGTCTGGTGGTGAGTGTGCGTTCTTTATGCGGTCGTGGTAGGGGCTTGAAGATGGTCACGCTCGTGCGGCGCAAGATCCTGTGGCAGCCAGGGCTTCATCCGACAAGACCGTTCATGCGGATTTCGTTGGGGTGCTCGGGTGTCACTGCGACATGAAGTTTCGATGCCAGCGGCTGTTCCGCAATCTATCCAAAGTTGCTCCACGAGAATCGTGTCTTGCGGTCTGGGTTGGCAATGTGTTTTGCATGCGGCTGTTCGAAAGGCGCGAGGAAGAGCACGTTTCGCGCGGCGGCTGCTCCTCTGGCAACGAGGCTCCCTTTCCCGCGCCTCAGGGAAACCATGTGCTTCTTGCAGTTTGTTCCAGTGTTGCTGTGGCCTCAAATACCGATGGCAGGGTCGCCC